AACAGAACCCGGAAAAATGCTTCCGGAATATGTATTTATATACTCCGTGTCCACTGGAAAGGCTCTCGCATGCTTAGAGCTCTGTTGCTCTGCGCAGCGCCAGGCTTTCTCCGGAAAAACTATAAATTACGTAAGCGCGCGCCACGCCAACGTTTCCAGTCTTTCAAAGGCCTGGGGCTTTTGCCAATTATATTTCTATGAGAGGGACTCCTTTTTTTCTTCATCCGCATGGCTTGTATACATTCGTTTTCAATCCGAAAACAATCTTTCAATTAAGTAATTACAAAACTACACAATCGTTGTGCTTGAGATCGACGAAAAAATGTTTGGTAAAAAAATAAACGTTCCATACCGTTAAGCGAAATCCGCCGCAAAGATCTCAATAAACTGCAATTACTAAGGTACAGCAGTGACTGAAAACCGATCGTTCGCGATTGGCTATGATAGACGCACGTGTACGAGGGTGCAGGTGGGTGGCCGCCACGGACGCAGCTTAAAAGCGACGGAGGGAAAAGAAAAGCAACAACGAAAGCCCAGTGCCGTTAAAAAAAAGAGAGAAAGCGAAGTGGAGTGAGTCATGAAAGGGAGCATAGGTACGAGTAGAGAGGGCCGTGTGCTATAGCCACGTGTCTCTCCCTCTGCTCAAATCACAAGGGAAAGAGATAAAAACGTTACGATAACTAATAGTGCGTGGAGTAGTGGCAACAATACTGCAGGCAATCTGCAGGAGAAAATCTACTAAGCCGACACGCTGACCCAGTAGAAGGGTTTTGCTGCGAGTAGCTCTCTCTCTCTCTCTCTCTCTCTCTCTCTCTCTCTCTCTCTCTCTCTCTCTCTCTCTCTCTCTCTCTCTCTCTTTCTCTTTCTCCCCCCCCCCCTCTCTCTTTCACTCTTGACCGCGGGTCGATCTGTGATGCAGAGGTAGTCTCTGCAGGAGTTTTAGCGAAACGGGACATAACTGCATGCAAGGGTTGCCTCCTTGTACGTCAAAGTGCTGCATACTATCGACTTGCCACCGTAAATCTCGAACACATGGGCGGAGAAGGTGTTAAGGTGTCCGACTGCGAAGTCCAAATATTTTCTAAGAGAGAGAGAGAGAGAGAGAGAGAAACCGACCGCTATACTTTTTCCTTGTCTTCATATTATACTTCATTTCCGAAAGGTAAAGGTCAACTTTACCGAAAGAAGGATCGACAGAGAAAGTTGAATGCGCCAGTAGGATTAGTAACCCTTTGGCTTGAACCGACTGAAAAATACGATAATTGAGGAATTAGACTTAGCTAGGATAATACTCATGGCTCGCTCTACGTGAAAGCGTTGACTTTTTGACTTCTTAATTAATGTTTTATATTGAAAATTGTTCGGTTTCCTGAAGTCAATGACTCCTTGGCTTATAACTTAACCCTTTCTCAGCAGTAGGATTTTAGCTGAATAATACCTTGCCTGGCAATGGCGGCTTCCTCTGCAGTATAACTTCTTGCTTAGCAATATATACATGATTTTTTCTAGATTTTCACGTGAAAATGTTTTGTTAATTTATATTATAAAATTTTTATAAAATTGTTCTTATAAAACTACTAATGTACTTAGAGTTGGTTTTCATTACGAACAAGAACATGAAGCAAAAATAATTTGTTTCAAGAACTGCAGACCACATTCATAAGGAGAACGATAGTCTCTTCGACCTAACGGACTGTACCACAGCTAATATTCGCAAACAGTTCTACTTTTTTATATTCAATATAACTGACGTTTGCAAAGTATACTGTAAATTTTATCTCACAAAGCTCCAATTCTAAAAATAAGCAGCTTGTGAATGATGATTGATAGGAAGACTAATAAGTTACATGGTGAAAAATAGTTATTTACGTACCTTATTTACGGCCTCGGACGCTCCACTGCCCCCCTCTCCTTCCCAAAAAGTCCCTCGACGTAATACGACGTGATACAGCCCAAGGTACGTAAATAACTATTTTAACAATTTCTATAAAAGGCTTTATAAAATATTAACAAAATCATTTTAATAAATTTTTTATAAGAACATATTTATAAAAATTGTATTTTTGAAGTTTTAATTTGTTTCATAAACATGAAATATATACGAGGAATTTTTACTCACAATAACCTCAAAATGATGACGAAATTAATTGAATTTTACTCTTTGCGAAAGTTTAACTTTAAATAAACAAAGTTAACCATAAAAGATATAAATTGGCAGATTATCACGATAAAATATTGTACTGTTTCCCTTTTATTAAGTTACGTAAATTATTAGAAAATTTTTTTTGTAAATGCGCTAATTACAACTCTGAACGTTCTATACCAAAGTATGTTATTTACATTGTGAAGGATATGATTATAGAAAAGTATAACGCTTTCAGAACTTACAATACATTTGTTATCGTGTTTTTTAATCTTTTGAATGATGATTTTTCAACACAGAAATCATGAGTGTATAACTGCATATTTACTTACCAATAAATAATATCGTTGGCCATCTCTCATCAAATCGAAGGAATATCTAATGCATATTGAATTTTCGAATGTTCTATTTCGCCAATGATAATGTGATCTATATTTGTGAATTAAAATAAATGTAAAAAAAACTGGCGCGCAAAGCCCGCTAAACACCATTTGTCCTCTTTTAAAAATGAGAATCTGACAAAATGATGCTAGTTTATTCGTGATCTGATTGGTTGAAATCCTCCACCTCTTTAAAAAAAAAACCTGACAAAATGAAGCCTGATGGGCTGAAAATTAGTCATATGACCAGCTGTTATGAAATAGTATCTATTTGTTATATACGGTCATGAAAAGTTACTAAAGATTTTAGTAGATGATTAAATGTTCGAAAAAGTAATCGGTATTGTTGGCATGAATTTAACACGAGTTGATTGATTTAATCATACTAATCTCAAAATAAAAACTTACGGATACTTCAAAAGAGAAATTAATTAAACTTTGCTTTATACAAAAGATTAACTACGAATAAACAAAGATTATAAAAGACATAAATCAATAGATTATCACGATGACATGTTATACAATAATATTGATTTTATCAAGTTACGTGAAATATTTAAAAAAATGATCGCGCAAAGGGCGCTAAATATCACTAGTCTATATAAAAAAATAATGGCCTGCCAAGTTAAGGCATGGTATTGGTGATCTGATTAACGGAAAGGTAGTCATGTATGATACCACCATGTGGCAGTATGTATGCGTACGTGTACTGAAATTAGTTATATTATTAGCACAGCAGCTCATATGTATGGTTAATTCGTGCTAATAAATATCTCGAGTCGTTTTATATCTATTTTATATTCATTAGTTAAGTAAATAAAAATAAGTAAGACGTTTTGTAAGCATTAAAAAAAATAGCGTTCACATTTACTCAATGGTCAAACCTTAAAATGATATCGAAAATAATTTCAATGCTTATCAATTACATTTCTTCTTTAATATATGTAATTGAATTGTAATTGAACTTGTAAATTTATTGAATACCTCTGTTATAAACTTTAACTGTGAATAGATATCATTAAAAATTAAGAAAATAAACTGATAAATTATTTCACAAAATAACTAACTTAATCTTCTCTTGTCCAGTAATTTATTCAAAAAAACTTTTGCAATTAAACTTATACGTAGAAAAAGAACCTTTAAATTATCATGCATGATTCGGTAAAAGGTGACAGCTATGTTGCTGGAAGTGAAAACATTGAAATATAGTTTGTGAAAAATACTACTCTAAACGCGCCGAAACCCGAAACTAACTGCGGGTTTCAGTATTTTGGTTAATAAAAAAAATGATTAAATTTATTTAGAAACGAGAAGGAGACACAAACTTGGTACATTGGCTGTTATTTACAGCTTATCTATAATTAGATATCAACGTAATTGGATTTTTATTTTTAATATTGACAGATTAAGTATGTCAAAGCATAGCACTATTTTTTATATGCAAGTTTTGATATGATTGAAGCGTGAAATTAAATATTAATACAAATGAGAGGTTAACGAAACTAGTATTACTAGAAAGCGTTAGTCAATTCAATTGAATCATATAATTGGATTTGTACACTAAACTTTATCGGTTGAAAAATAAATACAAAGGTAGGCAATGAAATGGACAACGAAGCCGGATCGACGGACAAATGTGTTATAAGAATTGATTGGCAATCGCATTGAAGATTAAATATTAGAACGAATGACAATTCCAAGCGCGCAATGTCCACGACAAAATATGTAGCTATCGATTAGTCGAAGTTGAAGCCGTTACGCGAACGAGCCCCTACAGCTGAGTGCACTAAACAGGTGAGCAAATGAACGTGCAATTCCAATTGCTCGTACTGGCGATCAGCACGCGCGGGCCAAGCCGGAAGAAGAGAAAAATAAGCGCGACGGGCGATCCACAATGCCGTCGCGTGCGAGATCGATCTCGCGCTGCGAGGCTTATGATCCGCGAGCTAAGGAACTTCAACGAGCGCAACGAAAGCGAAGATGAAGGCTGCGACGAACAAAGGCCCCGAGGTGAGCGACGAGGGAGCCGCCGCGCGGAGCGTCTGCCTTTTTCCTCTCGCGCAGGCCCGCGCCGGCTGCCGAACCGGCGCGTGTCGCAGTCATCCCACCCCCTCGATGATCCAGACGCGAGAGCGTGCCAAGCCGGGCTCGCCATCTCGAGACGGCGAGGCAAACCTCGAGATTCACGCGGTGGAGGTGGCTCGGCAAAGTTCAGTCGCGAGAGCTAGAGAGAGAGAGAGAGAGAGAGAGAAGAGAAGTCGGTGCCGGCAACGAGGGCTGCGGGAGCGAGGTGGCGGGGGAAGGCTCGGCTCGCCACGGAGGCCACAACACGACCGCCGGTCCTCATTGGTCGGGCGGCGCGCGGCTGGGCGGGAAAAAGTCTGGCCGACGCTCGGGTGGGGATAAAAAGTTCGCCCCGCTCTCTCTCTCTCGCTCGCTGTTGCGTCGTGAAATAGTCCTCCGGCCAGCCAGGAAAAACTAGAACCCGCTCTGCCGGCATCGAGTGCGCGTCGCACTTGCAGCCCAGCATCGCAGTCCAGATCCTCGGGTGCGCTCGGTCAGTGAACAAGTGTCGTTTTAGTTGAGTGCCTAGTGGTGAATCTCCCGTCGTCGAGAAGCACAGTAAGCACAGTGCCGAGAAGCATGCTGATAGCGGATCGACCGATCAACATGGACCAGTACAACACGCTCCACGACGCCGTTCGCGCTTTGCACGGCGAGAACCTCGTGCAGACCGGCAGTCCGGCGATCATGTGCAGCCCGCTGCCGTCGCACTGGAGGTCCAACAAGTCGCTGCCCACGGCCTTCAAGGTCGTCGCGCTCGACGACGTGACCGACGGCACCCTCGTCACCGTCAGCGCCGGCAACGACGAGAACTTTTGTGGCGAACTGCGCAATTGCACCGCGGTCATGAAGAATCAAGTGGCCAAGTTTAACGATCTCAGATTCGTCGGCAGGAGCGGCAGAGGTCAGTGCATTTCGTCGTTCTCGCGGACCTCGCTCTCCTCTCTTATCTCCATTAGCGCATCAGCTGCTTCGTGTCTTCGACTAAAGTGCGCTCTCATTTTTTTTGCAGGAAAGTCCTTCTCGCTCACGATACAAATCAGCACTGTGCCTTTTCAAATCGCTACCTACACCAAGGCCATCAAAGTAACGGTCGACGGACCACGCGAGCCAAGGTCCAAGTCGAGTGAGTATCTAATATATAGTATCTAATATCGCAACATTGCATTCAACTGAAAATCATTGAATTCTAAATGCGCGCTGTTCTGTACGTTGCAGCTTACCAGTACAGTCATGGATTCCCGGCGTTGGGTCTGCTCAACCCCTGGATTGACGCGGCTTATCTAAGTCAGTCTTGGCATTTGCCTCCTCTAAGTCACGTCAAACGTAAGCATCGATATTTTTTAACATTCTTTCTAAATACTTTCCGTTTCAATTCCCTTAGCCGAATCGTAGCAAATAACAGGCCAAATCTGCACATATTCTTTTTTGGTAACACGCGTTGCGAGTATATCGATTAGCGCCTGCACATACACACCTAACTACGCATATACATAGAAAAAGAGAGACGTCCGATGAATCATGCAACCGGGGATGTGGACCCCTAGCCGGTTCTAGCTTTCTCTCACTCGCGCCCCAACTGCAACGACAATGCTCCGACTTAACGCCCCTTTTTCATCTCGCCCCCCAAGTCTCTCTCTCTCTCTACGCGCGCGTGTGTGTATGTCTATGATTCTCGGCCTTCTTTTTTTCCTTTCCTAATTAAAAAAATAAAATGACATCTAATCATCTGTTTTTCTTTCTGTTCAATAGCCGGCACGATAATACCGCCAGCGGACATGTTTCCACCCGGTTTTCCACCAGTTATAATGCCACCGGCGTATCATTTTTCCGATCCACTAGCCAACTACCATAGTCCGCCTCCGGCACCACTGACAACCACTCAGACCACGACGCCTGTTTCGCAAAAATCCGCATCGTCGGTACACTCGACCTCACCACCAGCAGCAACGACGAACAACTGCACGACGATAGTACCACTACCGAGTACACCACCAATCAGTGCAAGCGACAGTGGCAGCGAATCCGAAGAAATCCGCAGTGCGTTCGTGCCGATCAGGGTGAACAATGTACCGTCGTCGTCGCCGACGGACAAACCGAAAAGGCCGGTGGAAGGCACGCGAAACGAGCTGAAAGCTCCGCTAGCCTTGATCTCGCACCGACTATCCACCCTCAAGAGGACTCCGTCGCCGACGAAGCTCCAAGCGACGCCAGCTCCCAAACCCGTGTGGAGGCCCTACTAACGACGACAATACCGGCGCGAGAGGCGACTATTTCAAGGCTAGTGACATGCGGATAGACTCCTTGAATCACGTGTGTACGTGGGTGTTTGTGTGCGCGCGCGCGCGACTGCAAGCCAACGTGTTTGATCGATATTTGGCTTTTCTTTCACGTACACGCATACGGGGAAACTTTCGTTGTATTTAGACGCGAACTGTGACAGAAATACTATGTTTCCAAATTTATTTATCGGTTGACTAGCTTCTCGATAGTCAACGAGATATATGTATGTATGTATAAGGAATTATCAAGCATGCCAATTTCAGTGTTTGAAATTGGTCATTGGTTGATTTAAATATGTGCGTCGTGATGTTGCTTCGATAAGAGGCCTAGTTACTTGTATTATACATGGATAAGGGAGGGGAGAGAAATCAAAGATTGAAAATATTGTTTTCATATAAATACTTGTAAATAGATCTTAAATGGTGCATATATATATACGTAATGTATGTATGTATATAAATATGTAAATATGTAAATATGTAAATACGTAAATACGTAAATTCGTAAATACGTAAATACGTAAATACTGATCGTGCATACATAGTATGCGAAATCGATCTACAAGAGAGAGAGAGAGAGAGAAAGAATACGAATAAAAATACGATCTACATTAACAAATATTTTTGCAATGATCTCAATGACCTTACCTTTCCGTATTGAAAAGATTACTTTTCAATTGCCTAATGAATTTCAATAAAAAGCAAATTTCCTCGAGGTAATAAAGAAAAGGGAACTACTTTGCTCTCAATTTAGCGTGAATCGACTGCGGCGTCGACCCACGCAGCGTATGCGTCCGCTTATTTTCTCACCCGCTTGCGACGCCATTTGACAAGACCGACGAAGAGAGAGAGAGAGATATGCACATCACCGAGTTTCTTGTTTACAGCCGTTCCGCATATGGCGGTAGCATGTGCCGCTCAGAGGCGCGAACATTAAACAAACGATGGCTTTTTTGCGTTTCCTCAATAAACGCGCTCGCGCTTCGAGATCGGAGATGAGTTGCGACGATGATATAATCTATAAATACTCTAGGCTGGCTTAACCGACGACGACCTCTCCAAGGCTTTCATCGTGCAGCTATAGTGGCCGCCGCGAGGGTTATGTGCTTTTGGTTTTTTTTTTGTGTGTGCGTGTGCGCGCGAGCCACGCGATTTAAATCTGAATGGTGTCTCCGACAGAATCATATATATATGCGTATATGGATATACATATGCGCATAGGGAGCGACCCTTCCTGAACGCCGGCCAGAGCCGTTGATGGCTTCATTAAATTATAGGCGCGAGCTCCGACTACACGAGAAAGTGACGATTATACGTACGAGCATCACGTTTCTTCTTGTCGGGTCTGATTGAGAAGTACTCCGTTCTGAAGGTTTTTGAATTTCTTAGTCCGGTTTGTCTACAGGCATGCGTTATAGTGTGCAGTTTCTGATGCGATCACATGTGAGCCATGAGTTTCATTGAATTAATGTTAATGTTCTTGATTTTGAATTAAATTGGAAAAAACGGCTATTATCTGAAATGTCGTGTATAAAAAGTTTCGCTCTAGTATTAATGATAAAGAGGACACAGTCGAGCTCGGTTATAAGCCTATTACTAGTCTCTTGTGAAACTGATTGCCTTGTTCACAACGTAAAAAGGTACGATGTTTTACTTTATTATTCAGTTGACAACATGGTTCAAAAGCGATTACATGCATATTTGGGTATGACGACATTTAATCGCAGTCGATAACAAACGAGCTCGTGGGAATACGTCTGAGCAATGTTTGAACTAGTTTTAATATAATCCATAGGAGATTTTGCGACGTTTCGTTACTGCTGATGAAACGTGGATTCATTATTAGCGAATCTGTGCCGATAAGAGCGAAAATCAGCCGGAAAAGTCATGGTTATAATATTTGGAACTCCACTCGTATTAATCGATTAACTGTAGAAGGGGACAACTATTACAGGAAAATATTATGCTTCGTCATTAGATCGACTTTATGCCATATTAAAGGAATAGCGGCCCCATTTGGTTGTAAAGAAAAGTTCTTTTCCATCACGATAATGCACCACGTCACGCGAGTTCCATTGCGACGGCTAAATTGTTTGATTTACGTTAGAAATATTTCTATGAAAACTTGGCTTGCGGCTAAAATATTTTCATCAAAAGAAATGGTAATTGCTTGCTAATATAAAAGAAATATTTTAAGAAGTTTGATAAAAATAACTTGTGAAAAGACCTAAGAAAGCTTGAACACCGCTATAATAAATGTATAAAGTTAAAAGAGGACTGTATTGAAAAATAAGTTGAAATTATTCAATAAGTAGTGCTTTTCATTTTAAAATCATGGATTCATTGAACCACCCGCGTAGGCATCGATAGGAAGTCATACGTTAACTGTGCAATGAAAACAAGAAAAAGAGATGGTATATCACTAAAGAGAAATATAATAAGCTCATTCGCGACTCAACAATTCTATATCAGTCACATCCTAATCCACTTAGGTACTCAGTGAATCCCTTTTTACCCTTGCGTCCAGAAAAAAATTAAAACAAAAAAAAAATATGAAATCCAATTTGGCGTCTTAGTCGACACCCCGTGTCGTCGCCGCTACGTACATGTGTGTAAAGGGAGAGATGGACTCCCCGCTGTCAGACAACGAAGTCGTTACACACTCACTGAGCCAATCGGGCCTTTCGGGTACGAGCGCTAACTAATGTTTGCCCAAAGAATCGCGATGCGTATAATTGAGTTGGGTGAGAGTAAAAAAAAATGTTTTTTTCGAGTGCACTGTACGTATGGGATGCGCTTTTACGAGCTTGACGGTATTGCACGAATCTAGCTTGACTCGGTTTTAATGTTTCGCCTGAAATCCACGGGTGCATTTTTAATTGCCATCGAACTTATTATTGACTGTCTGTTCAACAGATCTAATAAAATAAAGCACTAGAGAGATTAATTGCAGTTGGAGACGTGAAAAATATACGTTCAACGGGCATGCCAGCACGAAAATTTTTTTTTTTCCGCATCCTTGCTCATGCTTCATTTGCAATTTAATTAAATCGTCAAACAAAAGATACAGTTGAATATTCATATGCAGTAATTAATCATCGTATCGATTGCACCGGGAATTTTCGCTCCTCTCAATCCAAACGTATCGAGTAATAAAGCTGCATGCGTGCACGGAGGCCGCGAGATAAAGCACACACAAGTACTTAATTTAAATCCACGCAAAAACCAAACGAACGTGAAGCTGCAAAGTGAAAATAAAAAAAAACCGAGTAATGAAGATAGAGAGAGAGAGAGAGGAGAGAGTCGGAGAGTAACGCGAATACACACAGAGCTCGAGAGACAGAGTCAGTCGGGCGATTTCCACGCGCAGATTCGCGGGGGGTTTGAGGGTCCTAGAGTTAGGCAATCAGCGCTGATGAGAGAGCGAGTCGGCTCGGACAATTAGCGAAGCTTCGTACCGAATCTCCACGTGTACGTGCGTACGTGTGTGTCTGTATGTATGCATGTATGGACCCCAGCAGACGCACGTAAGTGTGTCACGACACGTGAGCAAGTGATTTTCAGTTTTTTCTCTCGATTCCTAGGGAGAACTGCCCCTGTGACAAATAGATCTAGCGGTAGGCATCGACTCGCTTACGAACCTGATTTCTTGGAATTACAAATCGCAAACGAATTGTCGAGTTCCGAAACAGCTAGGTTTCCAGTCGAATTGCCATTTCGACTACTTTTTGATGTTGATAGTCGTCGATCAACTTCGTGATAAGAGCAAAGACGAGGTCTAATGAAAACATTCTCGTAGGGCGATCAGACTGGCATACCTAAACGCAACTCATTGGGAACGAAAGAGGAAAAAAGCGATCGGAATTGAGTGAGATCGGCGCGCTGTCGCGCAGCTGGCCGCGACCACACTGCCACTGCACAGCGCGCAATAGCTGGCTGTATAGTGCAGGGGAGTCGACCGATTTGCAATGTGTTTACCCTTCGCCTTGCGGACTTGGCGCTGCGATGCTGTAGAACGTTGGCTCTTTGTGCTGCACACCCGCGTGTAGTGCGCTTTTCCGCTCGAAATTTTCACCCGTGTGTATACATGCGCCCAGCCCGACGGTGGCTTTACTGCTCGCGCTCGATACTCCTCCCACCCTCGCCACTCCTCCCCGCGCTAATTTTCATGGATAGGCTTTTCTCAAATATACCGATTTCGTGTTGCAACTACATATTTTCTTTTTACGAAAGTTCCCATCACTTTTAATCACGTGTAATAATGTTCTGAGTATGGAATATGCGACAGCAGTGGAAAAACATTGTCAAACAACGAAAATGACGTTTCGGTTTTCAAATGAAAAAGTCTTTTCGATGTTTTGGGTACGTATAAAAATGTCCAGACAATTATTCCAAGCTGAAGTGGCAAGTTTCCCGGAGGGGTTTGTCAACCGAAAATTCAGCGGAGATAAAAAGTAGGCAAGACCATTACGAGCTGCGAAACAAAAGCCGCTGGTAGCTCTCTCGTTGAAAAAGAAGACGTATACATCATGCAGAATAGAAAAAAAACCCCAAAGGTAACCAAAAGCGATTGGCGAATAATAAGCCGCTTATTCGCAGTGTGCCCCTAAAAAAAATAAGAAGAAGTCGGAATAATGGAAGCCAGCGCGGTAAACGAGAAAAAATGTAAAAAGAACGAGGCAACGGATAATAAGGAGAAGAAAGTACGCGTGAAAGCCCGTGGCAGCACGCGAGCTGAGTGACTTAACGAGCTGCTTTGCATTACACGCGGGGCGCGGATTTCGAGTGTACCTAAAGCCAAAAGAATAAGAAATAACCGACTACTCTGGCGCTCGCGCGGGGGCTGCCTCGTTATATTGGTTATCGATTTCACTCTTTGCGGGTCGAGCGGTTCCCTCTGTGCGTGTTTTTTTTTCTTCCAAGGAATAGTTTACACAAGTTTTCTGGAACGTTGCTGTAATCATAAAATTTCTACTCTGGCTACGGTAGAACGACTTTTGCGGAATTTCTTTTTATAAATGTAAATGTAACTGAAATTTTCCGCTTTAACGGAAGCAGTGCAATTTCAAGAAATAACGTCTGCTTAATTCGTGTAACGAAGCGCGCAATTCACTATACGTAGAAATAGCGTTTCGTCTTGTTATCGATTATGCTCTGATAACGTACCTTCGCACATTGTTTTGTAAGCATGCGGAAATCAAGAAAAATTATGCAAACTTAGTGGATTCTGAAGGATCATTCGTAAAATGAAAACTACGAGGTAGGCACCGTAGTGCGCAAAGGGTTTATTCTTATGATTTACGATACAGGATTAGACACTCAGTAAAAGTTAATTATTTGCAGAAAGTCAAATCCAACTCGTGCGTCCAACTGGGCCACTAAGAATCTTTCTATGCGAATGATATATTATTTATTGCTAGCGGTCAGCTGACACAATGGATGCTCCCAATGAATTTCAAACTTCGAAGCAATGAAATTTTGTGGCGAAAAGTTAACTTTCTCCCTTTCTTATATATGATCCAGCAGCTTAGACGAATTTCGTTTCACTGACCCTTAACTTCATTTTAACTTTGACAAACAATTGTCTTTTATAGAGATGAGCTA